CAGGATCCTGGTTCAAGCAGACCCAGCTGCTTATGAGCTGTGTGACCTTGGACAAGTCATTTCACCTCTCTAGACTTTAATGTCCTTATTTATAAAATAAAATATTTGGGTTAGACATCTCAAAACCCCCAGCCAGGGCAATCCTTTCACGATCCTTGGTAGCTAGCTGCAGTTTAGGCAATACATGGAAAAGTACTTTAAGAAGTGGTTAAAAGCTGTTAATGCCTTTCAAAAGATGTTATTTTTGCAGTGCAGAGCATGAAATGATACATGTAGAAAAATAAAATAAGTCCTTTGAAATTTTAGTTTTTCAAATTTAAACATAAAAATATTCATTTTAAGTGTTACTCCTCCCTCTCCTCTTTATCTTAAACAAAAAAGGGTCTATTTTAATGTACACAGACAATTTAAGTAATCACACCTATCTTGTGTTTAATTAACCACACCAGAGCTTTGGTAAGGTATAAAATAGTGCATGGATTTTACCCCTTTGTTTGCCTTCTCCATTGATAAGAGTTGTTAGGAGACCTCCTCTTCCTGGTAAGGGAGAAGGAGACATCTCTGCAAGTGGAAATTTCCTTTGTAAAAGTAAATTTCCTTTACAAAAAGAAAACTTGTGCTGTGTTTTTAGAGCGTTTTCTGCCTCTGTTTATTTTAAATGGTCTTTAGCTCAAAATGATCTATAGTTTGACCTATAGATCATTTTAGGATGGTATATTTTTTACGATGGTATATATCATTTAGGATGGTATATAGGGCACATTTTAGGATGGTATATTCTGGTACCCTTCACCTGGACATTGCTCTCAAACCTTATGAGTAAGTTAATTCAAATACCTACCCTGCCCCAGTTCAGTGTGGTGAATGGCACCCGGCACTCCCCAAGTCTTAAATTCCGTGGGATGAATGGAGCCCTGCACTCCCAAGTCTTAAACTCCGGTGTTTTCCACTTTCCTGGTTCATCTACCGTCTCCTTGTGCCCATTTTCCTGTTTCAAGCCACAGGCAACAGCACAACCCACATGGTCCCTTGAACATGATACAACATAGCACACACACAAGTTGCCTTTGTTCCAACTCTCTTCCAGCTTTATTCAACACTTTTTATCCTCATCCCCCAACTATCATTATCATCATTCATTTATTCATTTTCCATTTATTCAAAAATTGTGCATTGAGCATGTATTATGAACTAAGTTTAGGGATGCAGCAGTGAACAATAACAACAAAACTAGATGCACACTTTGCCCTCATGAAGTTTACAGTCTAATGAGGGGGATGGGGATTATTAATGAGATAGCCACACAAATAAATGTGACAAGTTTGTTTATGTAGGGATGGTAGGGATGGGGTGCTTTTAGAGCATATAGCAGGGAGCCTCTCCTTTGACTTGGAAGTTATCAAGAGCATGAGTATGAATTAACTGAAGAGTGAGGAGAAGCATGTGTATTAGGCAGAAGGAATTGTATGTGAACTTGTAATTGCCCAATGGGTTCTTCCTGCCCACTGACAAACCCAATTCAGTAAGACCATAGTATTGCAATGAAGAAAGGGTTTAATTAACACAAGGCAGCTGAGAGGAGAGAGTGACTCAGCCTCCTGAGAACTCAGAGGCTAGGGATTTTATGGATAATTTGGTGGTCAGGAGGCTAGGGAATGGGCACTGCTGATTTGTTGGATGAAATGATAAGAGTGTGGAAAATGGTTCTTGTGCACTGAGCCCACCTCTGTGTAGGGGCCACAGGACCATTTGAGTCATGAGTCATGGGTGTTGGTGCGGTCAGTTGGTTGCCAGAATGTAAAAATCTGAAAAACACCTCAAAAGACCAATTTCAGGTTCTACAATAGTGATGTTAGCTATAGGAGCAACTAGGGAAGTAAAAAATCTTGTGACCTCTAGCCACATGGCTGCTGAGCAGTAAGGGATTATAGAAACTATACCTATGTTTTAGCAGAGGTCAGGCCCTTTTCATAATCCTAATCTTTCATTCATCTTACAAAGGCAATTTCAGCCCCCAAAACTAAACAAGGAAGGGATCAGCTTTAGGAAGAGTCTATTATCACTCTTGCTTCAAGTTAATTAGAAACTAAATTTCTCCCATGGTTAGCCTGGCCCATGCCCAGTAATGGGTAAGGACAGCTTGTCTGTAAGGCTAGAAGCAAGATGAAGTCAGCCATGCTAGATTTCCCTCACTGTCATAATCTTTGCAAAGGTGGTTTCAAAGTAGCACTGGGGTAGAATAGAAAAAGGCCAGCATGGCTGAAGAGTGTAGAGTAAGAAGCAGAGTGGAACAAGATGAAGTAAGGAAGGTTGGCAAAAACCAGACCACACAAGGCTCTGTAGGCATGTTGAGGACTTTGGTCTTTAGTCTATTTTTAGCACAAGAAGTAAAACAATGAGTCATTGATTTCAAGAACATTGCTCTCACTAGCATATAGAAAATAGAAGAGAGGCAAGAGTGGATGTTACCAAGTTATTGTGGCACTTTAGGCAACAGATACAGCTAGTGCTTGACTTACACCATGATTGGTTCCGACAGACTGGTCGTAACATGATTTGGTCATAAGTTGAGTAGGCTATATGCACACGGAGATGGTAGTGCTGCCGGAAGCTGGTCCGCACTGTCGTACGCCCAGCTGGGCAACGTTTGCGCTGCCAGACGCGGAGCAGTCGTGGCTAGCTATTGTGGTCGTAAAGTCGAATGGTCGTAAGTTGCATAGGTCATAAGTCGATCAATACCTGTATTGGAAGCCCAAACAAGGGAGGTGGTGTTTCTCATGAAAGAAGTGTGTAAACCAGGAGTTATTTAGAATGTACCAATGAAGAACTTGGCAATGAGTTGTAAAAAAGAAGCGAGGAGAACATCAAGGATGATTGCAAGGGGTTGGAATCGTCAAATTAGATATGTAAGGGGTAATATTCACTGAGAAAGGGAGAAGGAAAGAGAATCAGTTTTGTCTTCCTTGTTTTGTCTTGTCTTTGAGTCATAATGGTGGAAGATTAGTGATAAATTTGGTTTGGTACATGCTAAGTTTGAAGTACCTTTGACATATGCAAAGGGAAATGTCAGGTAGGCAGTTAAATAAAAGGTCTATTATAGTGGTTCTAAAATCAGAGATAATGTGTTTCTCCAGGGGACATTTGACAACGTCTGGAGATATTCTTGGTTGTTACAATGTGGTGAGAGGTGCTATTGGCTTCTGGAGGGTAGAGGCCAAGAATATTCCCAAACATCCTACAATGTACAGAACCACCACACCCGGTGCAGCAAAGAATTATCCAACCCAAAACGTCAAAAGTGCCAAAGGTGAGAAATGCTGGTCTATAGATACTTGAGAGTCATTGGCCAAAAGCCTTGGGTATTGATAAGATCACAAATAGAATAAGAGTAAGAAAAAAAGTGGGATAGTACAGTTTTTGAGAAACTTCAATGCATAATGGCTGGATGACTTACCCAACATAAGAGACTGAGAAGGAGCAGCAGAGAAGTAGGAGGAAAATTTTAAAAAAATGGAGTCACAGAAGCCAAAAGCTGGGTAGAGGAGTGATGAAAAGTGTCAGATGCTGAGAAGACAAAGGAAATGGGGGCTGGTGAGTGTCCATTGCATTTAGGAATGTGAAGGTCACTGGTAGCCTCTGCAAGAGCAGTTTTGGTAGCATCATGCTGAGACAAGACATACTGCAGTGGGTTGAGAAATGAATGGGAGATGAACAAATGGAGGCACTAGTATAGGCAATGCTTTTAGGAAGTCTGGCAGTGGAGGGGAGGAGAGTGAAAGAGAACAGTCCTGGCAGGAAATGTGGAGGTCAAGAACAGTTTAGGGTTTGGTGATGTTTTTGTAATTGTTTTATTTTGTTTTAATTTTTTCATTATGGAAAATTTCTAACATATATAAAGTAATCAGGATATTAAAATGGACTTCAATGTACCCTGGATTCTGTGGACTCTGGATTCTGTTTTATTTCTTAGATGAGTAATGTTTGTTTTAGGTGGGAGTTGATTTGGCTGGACTCAAATTCCCAACTCTGTCTCTCCTAATCAGCAATAACTAAAATCTCTGCTCAGTTTTTTCAGATTCCAGCTGTACTCATTTTTTGCCAATCCCCCTGTGTATGCATAGTTTAGTCAGCCAATAATTTGCGTAGATTTGAGAGTTTATTCTTTCTGCAGCTTATTCCCTTCTAGAACCCACTCCCTCTTCATTTCCTGGCTTCTCTTCTAGCTCCAAATCTATTATCTGACACCTCAAGTTATTAAGACTTTGGCCTTCTGTTGCCCCAAGTAGCCTGCAGATTGGACTGCCTTCAGGCAAAAAGCTGCAAACTTGCAAATCTCAAAAGGTATAATTCCTGCTTTCAAAGCTTGATTTCCCTCCAGTATCTGTCTGCTCTTGGCCAACCCCCATTGCCTTCGTGTGTGTGTATGTGTGTGTGTGTGTGTGTGTGTGTGTGTGTGTGCATGCATATGTGTGTGTATGTGATGATGATGGAGTAGCTCAAGACTTCCCATCCCCAGCTCCATCCCCCACTGCAAGAACCTCATGCACATGTATCTGAGCATCCCAACCCACATCTCCAAGTTTCAGTCACAGCCCCAGCCCTCGGGATCCAGCCATTGCAGTATGGTCTGTACTTGGAAGGAGGGACCTGGAGAAGAGACCCAGACAGTTCCTGGAATCAGCCTTGGGGCCATTCAGTCAGGGAATTCTGGCATGCTGGGTACTGGTCTAGAGGGAAGAAAGAAGGGCACAGACTCTGGGGAACACAGGCTCTAGACAGGCACACTCGTTGGCCCCGTGGACTCCTTGCCCTGTGGGGAGAAGCAATTTGGAAGAAAGCCAGAGGATGACCCTCTAAACTATTGGGGCTTAGGGCAGGAATCTTTCTTGCCCTGGCCTATGGGTAAATTTAATTAATGCAATACCCAGTACTGTGAACTTTGCTCAGTTCCTAGTCTGACTGCCTGGTTTCTCTGTGTGTATATGTTTTGTTTCCTTTAGTGGACTGTTCATCACCATTCATGACAAGGGCCACCTTGCAACAATGCTGAACTCTTGGCCAGAAGACAATATTAAGGTATGATTCATTTCCATTGCTATTGCATTATTGTTGGGTGAATCCTTTAAGCCTGAACCAGAGTCATTTCCCGCTATAAAATGAGCCATTGTGACACTAAAAGCATCATACTATCCCCCATTCCTAAGCCACAGACCTATTATAGCCAAGTACAAATACACCAGAGTAGAGGTTTGCACTAACCAGGCATCCATATGACATTGCCCTTCATTATTGTGATCGTTAATCTGAAGATATGTTCAGCCTGTGTTGAGACCCTGCTAGATATATGGTAATAGTTTCCATGGTAGACAAAGAGAGAAATCAGGCATAGACCCTCTTCTTGAGTAGCTGATCTATTGTGTGGAAGATAAGCCAGAGGCACAAAAGACTAACAAGGTGAGACTTGACCAGAGATAAATATGGTACACGACAACAACTGAGGATGTTGTTTCAGAGGCAGAGATGATTTTTATCCTGAGAAGATTCTGGGATGACTTCATGGGGGAAGTGACAGTGGAGCTGGGCCTTGAATTGAGAGGTAGACTGTGGACAGTTAGCAAGTGGAGAGACTAGGATGTGGGGTGAGGACATGCTGCTCCAAAGGTGAAAGCTTATGATGGACAATATCTTCACACTTGGGTGTGTGTACCCTGGGTGTACACAGCAGTGTGGGGGTAGGGATGTGGGGCATAAATGTACAGTGATAAAATAAACCTGCCACTTCTTCCAGGAACATCCATTTTACTTAAAAACTTTAGGAGAAAATGTTTCTCTTTTTTTTCTTTTCTTCTTTTTGAGACAGAGTTTTACTCTTGTTGCGCAGGTTGGAGTGCAATGGCACCATCTCAGCTTACCACAACCTCCGCCTCCTGGGTTCAAGTGATTCTCCTGCCTCAGCCTCTTGAGTAGCTGGGATTACAGGCATGCATCACCATGCCCAGCTAATTTTGTATTTTAGTAGAGACAGGGTTTCTCCATGTTGGTCAGGCTGGTCTCAAACTCCCAACCTCAGATGATCCCCCCGCCTCGGCCTCCCAAAGTGCTAGGTACAGGCGTGAATATATTATAGAATGCAAAAGTTTTAATTTTTTTTTGAGACAGAGTCTCACTCTGTCATCCAGGCTGGAGTACACTCACAGATTATTGCAACCTCAACTTCCTGGGCTCAGGTGATCCTCCACCTCAGCCTTACCAGTAGCTGGGACTACAGATGTGAGCCACTATGTCTGGGTTTCTTTTTTTTTTTTTTGCAGAGATGGGGTTTTGCTGTGTGTCCCTGGCTGGTCTTGAACTTCTGGGCTCAAGCAATCTGTCTGTTGAAGGCTCCCAAATTCCCAGGATTACAGGCATGAGCCACCGTGCCCAGTGATGTTAATTTTTATATATAAAACATGCAACTTTGTAGAAATGTATTAGCCTCTGGCTAAATCCCCAGATCTCCTGCTATAGAGACATCTATGGAGGAATCTGATGGGCTCTGGTATCTAAGATCATTGTTACTTCTGAAAACAAAATGAGTGAGGCAAAAATGCAAAACGTCCACTGGTTGGCTAGTGAGGGCATTTTTGACACCTGAATTGGGGCGGGGCTGGTGCTGACCAAGTATAGGACGAGGAAATCTCAGGGCCAATGCTCACATCACTCTGCTTTGCCTGGGAGGGTCTGACACTCCCACACTGTTTTCTCTCTTTTTTTCCCTGCCCGTTCCCTGAGGCCCTCCACCCTTCTCCACTGGACACCAAATACAGCTTCTTTCTGTCTACTTCTCTTTGTGTTCCACCCACTGCTGGCTGTCTCCAGGGAATGTTATTTAAAAACAGAGCAGGCTGCGGACAGAACCTTGGCTCTCAGAAGCCAGGCTCGAGCCACAGCCAAGGCCCTGGGACTTTAGTCCTAGCTCATTTTTTACATCTGTGTCTGGGTATCATTTCATCTTGCGCTTCTCCCTCCTGCTTATCTTCTTAGACTCCGGTTATGTGAAGGCCTTGGCCCTGCAGGTTTTGGTCCCAGGCCCAGAGAAGCAAGTTTCCAGAGCATGTCTAGCATGAATCTATAATAAAATATTGAGGACATTAAGGAAAACCAGCTTATTGGATGGGCTAATCTGAGTGTATATGCTATTGGGGTCCTGTAAAGTTACTTCTTTCACTCACCTTCCTGTACAGTTCAATCTTTGGGAAACCTTAGACAAAGGAGGCACTCAATGGAGTGGAGTTGAATGAATTCAGTTGATAGACATACTGAACATCTTTCATGTCACAGATACTGTGCCGGGAGGTTCTCCACTAATATATTCGGTGCTTTTGTGCACATTATAAGGAATTAGAAAGAATGATAAAGGTACCTCTGTTTAACTAACTAAAAGGCACCCTTCTCTCCAAGCTGGCACAGGAGTTTGGTGAGGGGATGATGGACTAGATTTCAGGCTTCAATTGTTCCTCTTATCAGGGTACAACTGTATCAAAGGCCTTGCTGTGAGGGATGAAAAATGAGAAAAACATGGATCCTACCCTCAAATTGCTTTGTTTTGTGGTTGGGAAACTGAGATGTAAATTCAAAACAGAACCTTAGGAGCTGAATATCTATTGACTTCAATAAACATATTTTGAGAACCTTCTAAATACTGAATGCTAATTACCAAAGAGATGGCGACCACAACCGTTGTGATTTTAGAGGAAGAGAAACAGGGCTTTGGGTACCCTGGAAGAGGTAGGACTCCAGCAGGCCCCAAAAAAGAGACATCCAGAGCCTCTAAGGAGAATGTTCAGTTGCATGAGCAGATCTGGGCCCGCGGTATTGAATTCAGTTGTATTCAACCATCTTTTAGTAAACATCTACTCTGGAAGAACTCCCTGGAGGTTCACATACAGAGAAGGTATATGAGCCCATACTCAAGGAGCTCAAAGTCTAGTTAGAAAGACTGACTCAAAAATAATGGCATACACTATATCTGTGCTGCCAAAGAGACCCCAGAGGACAAGGAGCAAACAGGTAACTGGTTTCCCACCCACCCTAGAGTGCACAGGTGAGTGTCTGAGACCACCTCCATCCTTTATTCCTGTCTCACTTTGAAGAAACCTGGAGATCAGTCCCAGTGACTATGTAGAGGAATCAGACCTGGCTTTGCAATCAGACCGTCCTGGGTTCTGGCCTTACCTGCTGCGTGTGCAGAGAGCCTCTCTGAGCTTTGCTTTCCTATTGTAAGGATTAACTATGATAAAGTCTATACACATTGAAGTGTACTTGAATGGATATTGCCATCACTGGAGGTGGTGCAGGCAACTGTAGCCTGCATAGCCGGGCAGACAGGGCCTGAGGAGGCTCCCTTACCTGGGAAGCACAGGCCACAAATGAGCAGTCAGATGATTTGGCCCCTAGACATATTTGATATGGCCCTTAGTGGTTTTCTAACATTTTGAATTCATGGGCAACATTTTAAAATCAGGAAATTTCATCAGAAATAGATATCCAAGCACCTGGGTTTGTGGCTTCTCTGGAAAAACCAGGAGCTCTGAATACTGGGCCGGTAGTCTGGCATGCAAATAGGTCCACTAGAGCTGATTGGACTGCCTCTGGCTTACCCTGGGCCCCTCCCTGCCCTACTCACTGGCGTTTTTCTGGAGGTTTTTCTCCCCCCACCTCCAGGGTATCCTTTCAAAGGTTTAGAATTTCCAAGCCACAGTCTTTCTTGTTTTCTGATGTGTATTTTCCTGTTATTTAGAAAGTGGAGAGGAAGGTCTTCCTACCTAGGTAGGGAATCTCTGCTCATCATTATTCCATAGCACTTGGGGACTGATGCAGAACTTCTCCTTCACTACATCATTCTAATCCCACAGACACAGGGAGAAGTTGGAGTAAGGACTTCTGAAACCCCCAGTGTGTGTCCTGAAGAATGTGTACAAGTGTGGCTGGGTGCAGTGGCTCACACTTGTAATCCCAGCACTTTGGTAGGCCGAAGTGAGCAGATCATTTGAGGTCAGGAGTTCAAGACCAGCCTGGCCAACACAGTGAAACCTCATCTCTGCTAAAAATGCAAAAATTAGCTGGGCATGGTGGCAGGTGCCTGTAGTCCCAGCTATTCAGGTAGCTGAGGCAGGAGAATCACTCAAAGCCCAGAGGTGGAGGTTGCAGTGAGCCTTGTGCCACTGTACTCCAGCCTGGGCAACAGAGCAAGACTCTGTCTCAAAAAAAAAAAAAGTGGGGGGCCAGGCATGGTAGCTCACACCTGTAATCCCAGCACTTTGGGAGGCAAAGGCGGGTGGATCACCTGAGGTCAGGAGTTTGAGACCAGCCTGGTCAAAATGGTAAAACCCCATCTCTTCTGCAAAAATTAATCAGGAATGGTGGCACATGCCTGTGGTCCTAGCTTCTTGGGAGGCTGAGGCAGGAGAATCGCTTGAGTCTGGGAAGTGGAGGTTGCAGTGAGCTGAGATGAGGCCACTGCATTCTAGTCTGGGCAAGAGAGTGAGACCCTGTCTCAAAAAGAAAAAAAAAAGAATGTGTAGAGTTGTGTCTTTTCTTAGATGAGCAAGCTGAGGTTAAGTGACTTGCCTGAGGTTACCCACAATTAAGTGTTGGCTCTCAGCCCAGAACTGTGGTCCTAAGTCACTTTGCCAACCAGCTGCTAAGTGGGAGAGAGTTTTTCAAGGCACAGATATCCTTAGACCTGTTGCTAGCTGCTCGCCTAGAGAAGAGGAGTGGTTCAGAGGAACTTCTGAATCAACTCAGAAAGTAAAAAATGACTTTCTATGGTTTCCCAGCAAAAAAGCAGAGTTGAAAACTGCAATGTAAGAAGAGTAAGCTGCAAGGGAAATGGGGCCAAAGCCCAGGGCTGGGGAGACGGTGAAGTTTTGTGGGCCTTGCTTTTTAGGAAGGAGGGGGCAGACCAGGCCAGGCTGTCTTGAGCTGTCTACCGTAAATCACAAAGAGGAGTGAGAACTGCTTTTCAGTCTCTTTCCCACAGTGGCCATTGCCTGGAGCTTATAGGAAGGTTCAGCTGAGAACAGCCCTCCTCCCTAACAATTTTCCCAAGCTCCTAAATCTCTCCCTCACCCAGTCCCAGGAGCCTCTGGAGAAGGAGGTGCTGAGAGCCAGGGGATCCTCCTCTGCTACTGGACACATCCTCTGTAACAGCCACTTAGGTGTTTACACTTGGAGCAGATTGCTAGTGCCAAGTGCCTACCTAACATGCATTGGCCCACTTTGTGTTAAACCCCACTCTGTGCTCATTGTCAGGGTTTAGATTTCTTTAAAAACAGTCTCTGAGACATATTAGGGAGTGCTCTTGAGTCGGCCAACACTTGTGTGAAAGAAGAAAACAGGATAGAGCAGAAGGAGAGGTTGGACTGTGGTAAGATCTCAAGCAAGGCTCCACCGAGCCCCTGAGGAGGCTCTGGAGCTAGGATGGCCCTTCAATAGCATCCAGAGGTGAAGCAACAGAGTGGACCTTTAGATTCCTATATTGGGCTGCCCTTGGAAAGAGGTGTGGCTTTGGGCAAGGTGGCTCTCTTTAGTAGAGGAAACTCCCCAGATGGGCTGATAATCTGAGGATACAGCTGGGAAAATAACGCTTTCATTCCTGCAGGAGGATCTGCACAACACATCATCGTATCCACCTCATGCGGTATGATGCCAAGTGCTCTACATAGATTAAATCATGCCAACCCCGTAGGAGGTAGGGACTATTATTATTCCCATTTTATAGACAAGGAAGCTGAGAGGTTAGGTTCTTTGCAAGGGAGGAGTGGAACCAAGATTTGAAACTAAAAAGTGTGCATTATTTTTGTTGTGGAAAGAGAGGGAGAAAAGGAAGAAGGTGATGAGGAGGAGGATAAAAGGAAAGATGAGAAGGAAGGATGAAACAAAAGGAAGAGGAAGAAAAGAGTTGTATAAACAGTGGTTTGGGCAACCTATGACCGTAGCTACAAGTCCAAGGAAGCTCCAGAGCAGGCAAGAATATTTGATCCTCAGGTCAGTCTTGGGTCAGTCCCATTGGGTCCACCCAAGCTACAGGATGTGGGCAATAATTCAGAAAAGGCCTTAGGTCTGAGGCAGGTGGACAAAGAAAGAATGTGGCACACCATCCTTCAAACCTGCCCTGAGTCATCAGAGAGACAGGGGAGTTATGAATTATAAAACTCTTCCAAACAAAGAAAATGTGATTCTACTGTTCTGGAAAAGGTTGCTAGGCTTTAGAGCTAAGGATGCTGCCTAGGTTTGCCTTCAGCCTTTTGACAATATACAAAACTAGTGGCTCCCAGCATGAGGTCCATTGATGTCATGAAAAACAGCGTGAGGTGTCTTCTCTCTGAACTTGTTAATCCACAGCAAGTCTGAACTCTGTTCAGTGCAGAAGACACTTCATTCTTTCTGTTGGATCTATCACATTGCCCACTATTTGTGAGTGCGTGTCAATTACAGGCAGGTCTTGGCAGGCAGTGGGTCCTTAATGCATGTTTGTAAAATGCAGACAAGAACCATGTGTGGTAGATACAGCAGTTCAGGGGAAGAAGAAATTTCAGTAGATTGTAATGAGCAAGATTTATGCTGCTGAAGAATAGGGAAAAGTACCTTCCAAAAGGAAGGAATAGAGAGATTGAGAGGGAGCGATGGTAGGCAGATTTAGAGTGTGCCTGGGAAGAATGCAAAAGCCACTACAGCCAGAGAAGGCAATTGTGTACAGATATGTAGCAGGAGATATGTTTCAGAAGGTCTGTTGGATCAGATCGTTGAAGAGTTAAGTATTTTGGACTCTATTCTATGGACTGCTCAAAGTCACTAACGGTCTTTGAGCCTGGGAATGGCATAATGAAAATGGGCTTTTGACACAATGAATCTGACACTGGTTGGCAGGAGAGAATGGAAGGGAGGATGATGAGAGGCAAGCAGTCTGGTTGTGAAACTGTTGCAGTAACTCACCTATAAGCACGGTAGGATTGTGGGCAGACAGTAGATGGAGGTAAGACAGTCACTCATAGGAGTTGGTCATGCAGTAGAGTGCCGTGGGGCATGTCCAGCCTGGGAGAGTGGCACTGCAGAGCCCTGTCACCATCCTAGGGTTGTGGGGATAACAGTCTGGAGTAGCAGATTTCCTCTGTTTAACTTCATGTCACTCACTGCCTCTTCAGCATGGAGAAGGATTCTGAGAGCATGGGAACCATAATAAGGAAGCTTTAATTGGGAGAGATGATAGAGAAATGCCCAGAGTCTGGACACCCAGGCGCAGCATGAGGGCATAGTCTCCAACAGGGAGAGCTACCAACAGGAGGTCAGATGTAGACTGCAGAGACGGTGGTGCCAAAGCAGGGCAGGACTTTGCCAAGAGCATAGGCACTTTAGCCCAGCCAGTTGGGGTGGTAGAAGGAGCCCTGAACCAGGAATCCTGACTGGAACCCTGCCCTGCCACATACACTAGCAACATGACCTTGCTAAGTCATCTAATCGTTTAAGATAACTGTTGGGGAAACATCCAGCCTAGTGCCTGGTGTGGCTGATACTTAACAAATATAGAGAGAAAATAAAGGTCTTGAGCTTCTGTTTGCTCACCTGCGAAGCAGAGATAACAATCTCAGACCCACCTACCTGCCCGGGGTATGGGGTAGGATCACATGAGATGCAGTCTGTGAGCACTCTCCAGAGGCAGTAATCTAAGGGAGAATATCATGATTTTCGTGGATCTCTTGCACCCTCCAGAGACTCTTTTTCAGAAGCAGAGGAGTATTTTTAAGATTCTCCCCACCTATTTCCACTAAAAGAGAGAATAGAAGTGAGAAGATACCATAAGCCCTTTGGGTACCAGATCATGAACTCTTCCAGGGCAAGAATGGGTCTTCATTTCTTTATCCCCAGTGCCCAGCAATGTGCCTTCATGGATTTAACCAAACCCTATGGTGCCCATGGCCAATCAGAACACCTGTAGCCCAGAGAAGATCCGAAGCCAAGTTCCAATGAAGGGATCAGAGACCTATAAACTTAACTGTTTTAGAGATGGAGAGAACTAGTGCTGGTGAGCAGGTGGGAGTGGGCTACAAACAACTTCACTGTTACCCTGAGGGACTCTCCTTGGCCAAACATTCAAGGCCTTTCACAGTTTAACTCCTGCCTGACTTTTCATTATTTCCTTTCCTGCAACGTACACCTTCTCATTCCTCACACACACCCTACATTTGCCCCACCCCCAGCACCTATAACCCAGATTTTAACTTTCTTTTGCATCAAATGCCCTTCTCCTCGCCCATATCCTACAATCTTCACCTGTCCAAGGTATGACATGTTATGTCCCTTCACCCATGAAGGGTTAACCTCCCATCTTCTAATCTCTGCCACTCTTTATGCTATTCTGCTATAATCTGGCCTCCCTCCCAGAATCACGATTATTAATGTACTCTCCTTTGGCCCATTAATCCTTTAAGGGCTGGGTCCATGCATGTTTGTTTTTGTAGGTGTGCAAACTGAAGCTCCTTCCCCCAGAATCTGCCACAGTGTCTTATGCAAAGTAGGTGTCTCATAAATGTGTATTAAATGAATGAATAAAAGTATATCCATTATAATAATACAATTATTCCTATCATCCCTATCATCACCATCAGCTTCATTCACATCTATTAATTCACAGTAGGTAAGCCTGGAACTAGCACTACATCTAGTACATAGTAGGCCCTCAGCAATTCTTTGCCAAATGCATAAGGTAAATCCCAGTGCAGCTTGAGACTCTTCCTGATTTCATATGCAGTAGTGATCCTAGAAGATGTCACAAGGAGCCCGGTTCTTTGCAAATTGGATTTTTTGTAATCCAGGAGTAGGTTGGAGAGTACTTAGATTGGTCTCTAAACTCTGGAGCCGTAGCAGCAGCACAAACACTTATTTTTCATTTTCTCCCTTAATTATGCCCTTTCCTCTCTACCACCCGAAGTTCTCAGGCTGAGAGTGTCTGTTGAGTTTCCTTGAGGGAGAATAAAGTGACTTGATGTGGTTTCCTTCCAGCTGTTTCTGCAGCCCCCACCTGAACCTCAGAATGCAGGGCAGGCATCTTTCTGTCATATCCTCTCAGTGGGGTTTCTCACCAGCCTGCCAGGATGGACCAGTCACCTGCAGGTGAATGAATGCTCTGGCCTTATCCCAGACAAGCTGTTTCATCCCAGCAAAGTCAGCGGGCATCCAGTCGTCAAGCCTGATGTGCCCGGGCTGCTAAAATGAGCACTCTGTTGCAGGAAGTGCTGTCTCTGATTGATTTCCCTGATGATTTCAGGCCGTGGTGGTGACTGATGGGGAGCGCATCCTGGGCCTGGGAGACCTGGGCTGCTATGGCATGGGCATCCCTGTGGGCAAGCTGGCCCTGTACACAGCGTGCGGAGGTGTGAACCCGCAACAGTGCCTCCCTGTGCTGCTGGATGTCGGCACCAACAATGAGGTAACCTGCTGCCCAGGCCAGGAGCTCTGGGGCTGGAAGGTGGCAACTGGGATGGGGGTGAGGAGCATGTTTGTGGATGGTTATAGCTACATAGCAATGGGCCATTTCTTTCTTGGCATCCCCCTGACCAGGGCACTCCCCCTACACAGTTGTGGAGTAGAGGACCTTCTTCCCTGGTTGCCCACCTCTAGCTCCATTCTGTTCCTTCCTCCACTCCTGGATCCCCTTGCTCCTCTACCTCCATGAGGCCCTCTGTGCCCACAGAGGCTTCCATGCTTGGGCTTCCTTCCTCCCTAACCTCCATTACCCCATGCAGTTTCTATTTCCCTTGAGGTGGGTGTGACCACTGGGCTGTGTTTTTTAGCATTCTCAAGGCAAGCTGCCCCAGTGGAAGGATTAAAATTCAAAGCACCAGGACCAGGGGCTGAAATGTCTGATCAGGCAGATCAGTGTCCTGTAAACCCAGTGAAAGAAACTGGGCGAAGCTGTAGGTGAGATCCACCTACAGGATTCCTAACAGTTTGTGGTTTAAGGAGCTCAAACCCCAGCCAATGGTTTGTCCGCTCTGGGAACCACCCTGGGCATGTCTGTGATTTGCAGCTCCATCTCTGTGTCAGAAACCATGAAAAATATCCAAGGATTCCCTCTTAATGGCATTTATCTTTGAGATCACTGCATGTTCATCTTTTAAAAATTGAGGCCGGGTACAGTCACTCATGCCTGTAATCCCAGTACTTTGGGAGGCCAAGCTGGGTAGGATCACCTGAGGCTAGGAGCTTGAGACCAGCCTGGCCAACATGATAACACTGTCTCTACTAAAAATATAAAAAATAGCTGGGCATGGTGACACAAGCCCATAATCCCAGCTACTCGGGAGGTTGAGGCAGGAGAATCACTTGAACCTGGGTGGCAGAAATTGCACTGAGCCAAGATTGTACCACCACACTCCAACCTGGATGACAGAGCGAGACTCTGTCTCAAAAAAAAAAAAGAAAAAAAAATTGAGAAAATTCAGAGAAGTGTTAAAAATAAAACATCATTCACACAACAAGCACTAATCATTGTTTACAAATTGGTATATTTTCTCCCAGCCTTTTTTTTTTCCAAATCACTTATAAAATAAAAGTTGGGTCCTTATTATATATACCATATTTTATATTTCTTTTTCAAATTTAATTATCTATCATGATTTTTCTTCCAGGTCATTAACCATTCTTCCACAATGTTAGTTTAATAGCTGCCTGGTTTATCATAATTTACAAAAGAAAACCCCACAGTTGGACACTTAGGTTGTTTCTAGTTTTTTTTCAAATATAAATTGTGCTCTAACACCCATTTTTGCAGATGAGTCTTTGTCCCTATCTCTGAGTATTTCCTTAGGATAAATTTCTAGAAATTTAAGTTTTGAAGCAAAAGGAATGATCATTTTTTAAATTCTTGATTCACATTATCAAAAAAGTTATACTTATTTGCATTCTGCAGTGATCTCTCTTAAGAAAATTTGCCAAGCCTCTTTACATGGCCTTCCTCTTCCCTCGACACCATGCATCCCCATTTCTTTTTTATTTTATTGTTTAAGACAGACTCTTGCTCTGTTGCCCAGGCCGGAGTGCAGTGGCTTGATCTCGGCTCACTGCAACCTCTGCCTCCCAGATTCAGCCAATTCTCCTGTCTCTGCCTTCCGAGTACCTGGGATTACAAGCATGCACCACCACACCCAGCTAATTTTTGTATTTTTAGTAGAGACGGGGTTTCACCATGTTGGTCAGGCTGGTCTCGAACTCGTTACCTCAAGTCATCCACTCACCTCTACCTTCCAAAGTGCTGGGATTATAGGCGTGAGCCACTGCGCCCGGCCCATGCATCCCCATTTCAAACAAGAGCAAGCACTATAGATCCTAGTAAAGAATGATGCTTATTCAGGCTTCATCTGCAGATACAATCCAATAATGGAACACTGGGCAGCCCTTGCCTAACAGCTGGGAAATCCTGGGGGTGGGAATGTGATGAGGAAAGGTAAGAAAGTGGGAAAAGTATTGGATTGGGACCTTGGTTCCCCATACCATGATGAGCCAGGGACCTCGGTTTCAGTAACATGATGAGCCAGATAAGTCACTGCACCTCCTTAGACTTAATTCCCCTTCAGTACAGTGAGAGACTAGACCAGAAGTTACTGAGCATCCTGCAACCTCTAAAACCACTTGGTCTCCATGTATCTCCTCACCAGCTCAGGAGACAGGAGGTTGGATGGGGATACGCGCTTTACAGCTGCTCATCAAAACCAGTCTTCAAGTTTTGCTCTGCACAGTGGTGCCCTTCCCCCAGGCAGATATCTTGAGTTTTGCTGAAATTGTCTTTTGGCCTCAAAGAATGCTTCTTTGCAAGCCTGGATGAGCGCAGCAAACTTTGTTTTATTCTTCCTCTCCAACACCTCCTGCTGTGTTCCAGCTGGATTTAATTGAGACCTTCATTCCTTTTAAAAGCTGACCTTAGACAAGAATTGGAGCAGAATGAGTTTTATTCTGAGGCCACTGCCTCCACTGGAAAGGTGCTGGCTGCCCTGGTGCACTGGAATCCTTTGTCATTGACGGTCCAGCACTCATCAATGATATGCTGAAGTTTAGATCTGGCTCTAACTTAAAATAAACCCACCAGAAAAAATGACTGTAGCAGTAATTGTGGGTCAGGCCCTTTTTTGTGGACCACTTGATTTAAGCCTTACAATAACCCTGTGAGTTGAGCATCTGTTATTACCCTCTTTTTTTATAGCATAGGAAACAGGCCCAGAGAGTTTCATTTGCCCAAGAAGATCTGCTAGAAGTGGCAGGACTGGGATCCAAATCCGAGCTTGTGCTCCTCTCCCCACATTACACCTGTGCCCCCAGTTTCTGTTTCTTTATAAGTAAAGATCATTTCTTGATTTTTAGAATTTTTTATTACTAAAATAAATTTAGAACATTATTCAAAATTTTAAAAGAAAAAGGAAATGGCATTTCTCTCACAGTGCTGCACTTGTGTTTCTTTCCAATATTTTTCTGTGCTTATACATAGAGGTGGTTATTACCTAGGTGTAATCATAATGTGATTTTGTTCTAATTTTTTCCATTAAGATTATTTTGTGAACACTTTGCCTTATTTAATAAAAGTGTATTGAGTGTTTAGTGGGTGTCAGGCATCCTGCTGAACCTGAGAGTTATAGAATATTCTAGTTGTCAGTGTTTCAACACTGTCACCTAATTGGTCACTTTAATGAGTCATGTATTACATCTACTCAAAGCATCTGCTTCTCCTCCTGGGGCTTTAGGCCTCTAGAATCACCTCTCCCTTTTGGATGTGGAGGGGAGAGAACCTCCCCTGGGCCTGCTCTTTATGTCAGGGAGGGACCAGAGTACCCCCATCTAGGAAGAGGGAACATGCCCTGATCTGCCCTCTGCGTGCACTCCAGGAGTGAGAGGAAGCAGTTCTTCCCTGGTATATTATTCTCCCCATTTTCAGATAAAGAAACTGAGACTGAAATATGTCAACTACTTACCTCAGATCCCACAGCTCTAAGTCTCAGAGCTTGGATTGGAACCCAGCTCTCTGGCTCCACAGCTGCCTTGCCCACCGTGGTGCACTGCTCCAAGGCGTTAGGTGTTTGCATTATAGACTGGGAAATGGGGGCCAAGAATGGGTATTTCACACAGGCAGGATCCCATGGACACTCAGGATCAAGTCAGAGGATAGCCATGCTCTTTATACCATCCTCCCCTCTAGGGAACAGTAGGCCCCCTACAGACCCACTTGAAGAAATTCAGGACACAAAATTCTCAAAGTTATAAAGCGACCAACATTAGGAACACGGTTATTTTTCTCTTTTCCCAACTACAGCTCATTTTCTTTTTTTTTTTGTTTGTTTTTATGATTCTGTTTGCAAGACATCGCCCCCACCAGAAGTCCCAGGGCACATCTTTTGCTAAGAGCAAGCCTAAGATGTAACAGAGGGAAGCTTGGCCTTACCACTTTTATCTCACATGTCCACACAGAGAGATGCTGTTGTGAGGGGTTTTTAGTGTCAGAATAACTGGACCATCTGTGTGTATGGCTCTATAAAAACTCCTGAGGCAACAAGAGCTTTAATCACAGTCAAAGACAACACCCCTCCAGGTTTCCTGTTGAAGGAAAACATCTGCTGTCCACAGCCCTGAAACTCTGCATCACTTTTACCTGCTGATACAGAGGAGATTTGGAAAAATAAGTGTGTGAGGCCATGATCCCATGAAAATGGACATCCTATGATTAAGTTCCAAGGGGGTAGGGGAAGAGAGTACCTGCTCAGGCTTCCATCATGGCTGTGTGTGGATTGGATTTATTTTGTTTCATCCATACGCAGCCAGTCACAGACTCTTCAGGTTAGACGGGATCTGAGTACCATCTCATTCAACCCCCTTGTTTTACAGGGGAAAAGAGGCTCAGAGCAGAAAGGGCTTTCCCAAGGTTTTACTCCAAACCCAGAGCTCTTCCCACTCTGTGCTAAGGCAGTGTGGGAGAATCCAGGGGTGTGGGGCTTGGCTTTAAAATGACCCTACTGAGCCTTGGAGATCTTTTCTTGGCAGAAGTCTTGAGCCTCTATGAATTCAGCCCAGAAGGAGATGCTGTGTGATCTTCTGGAACTGAAGAACAGATGGAGGGAGGGGAGTCATGTCTGCTTAGGGAAACAAACATGGGAGCAGATTATCAGCAGAGCCTGGTAAATATTGCCAGGAAGCAATATTGGATTGCCAAGGAAGCATGGAGTTGGTAACCAGGCTGGGCGTTGCAGGGTTTCCTCTACCTTGCAAGATTATTGTTATTCAGCATTCTCCATGTGGTGCCATCATTGATCTCCCTATGATGAGCTCATCCTCATGTAACCCATGAGGATGCCCTTGCTAGGATCTCTGTAGCTTACCCCAGGCTGAGCTGAGCTTCCCAAGGAATGAGTAGTAGGTGGGACTGCCACTGTAAGGGGAAAGTGTGCT